TATATATACGGTAGGCTATATCTCGGGAACTATGTATTCAATTAGCCAAATAGTTAAGGAGATTCAAAATGTTTCCATCACGATAGTATATAGACCGATATATACCTATATATAGTATATATATATTTATATTTTATATATATACAATATATATAATATTATATTTGTATGTTGGACGTATATTTAAATAGACTATGTGTTAACATTTTTATGGTTTAAACATTTAAATTAATGTCATTAAAACACAAAGTACAACAATGTAACGATTTCTTTTGACAATTTGCATTACTTTTGTATATTTTTTGTAATTCATTGTTGTTGATGTCATTGTTGCTAAATAAATTATTATTGTTACGACCGAATTGAATTGATTACAATTTTATTGCGATGTTTAACAAACAGTTTTTGATTTCTAATTGGGAAAGGAAACACATAATTTTCCTTGACAACATATTCCAGAAATTGGCGAATAAACGGGGCCACAATATGCACCAGTGAGGTAAGGTGTAAAATCTGTCCGTTCCGGCATTTTTTACGAGTTATAAAAGGGCGTATTTTGATCTTTTACATTTTCATTATGGGCCCACTCGGCCGATTCGAGGCCCATAATGATGGCTGATAAATATCTCAGGCTTAAAGATCCGGGGCCACTAACGCCTAGTGGGGGAGTGTCCAGGGGTCCGGGCCTGGACGGCGGCCCGGGACAAAACCAGTGCAGTTTTCTGATCTAATTCCTATAGTAATAGTTTAAATACATAAAAGCTGTCTTTGGATAGTTATCCCCAAACCCCTACCGGGAGTCAGCCCTTTGACACTAGCATTAATTGTGAATTATGTTAAGCCTATTATGTCTAATAAAAAATTAATATTATGATATGTGGTATTTGTAAACATAATTTATTGATTAAAAACCGATTAAATTAACCCTGTTTTTTGGGGGTTTTTTTTGTTTTTGTTTTTGTTTTTTTATTTTTTAGCATTAAATTTAAATTTAAATTTTGTGAATTACGGTATTCCAGAATTAAGCCTATTAACATAATGCCTAATCAATGAATTATATTATAGATATTATTTAAGCTTTACATTTTGCTTAACATATTTTTCTAGCATTACCTATTACCAGTAAGTGTACTTTGCTCCAAGCCGTACGTCTGACATGGATCGCCACCACCTGTCTTCTCCATCTTTATACTTTTTTCGTGTTATCTATTATCTATTATCTATCATCTATTGTCTATCGTCTATTATGTATTATGTATTGTCTATTAGCTATTATCAAATATCTATTATCTATAATCTATTATAATATTATCTATAATGTATTACCTATTATCAATTATCCATTATTTTTTATCTATTATCCAATATCTAATATCTATTATCCATTATTTACTACCGGTATTTATTATATTATCTATTAGGTCTACTTATTACCTATCATGCCTGATAAATAAATTATATATTATTTAAGTTTAAAAAGTTAATACAAGAATAAATGAGATAAATAAATTTAAAAACCATATAATTTTTAAAAACGTTGTTGTGAATTATGCCAAAAATATGCCTGTAGATGCCTGAAATAAGAGATATTATTTAAAATTAAAAGTAGATGTCAATCATCATCTTTGTGACACGCAGGTGTCAGAGAACACACTAACAGAAAATGTCAGGGTCGAAAAATCGTTCA